ATTAGTAGAGCTTTAAAAGTTTGAATATTGTTATCATAAATAACAGAACTGAACCTATTATTATATTTGGAAAGATAATTATCAAGATCAAAGGAGTCAGGTTCAACATTGATAATGCTTAGCATTTTGTATAACTATCTTTTAGAAAAATATTTATAAAGTTTAATTAGTACAATTTGTTTATATAATGCTATTATTTAGAAAAATTATTTAATTATCTAGACTTTTAGACTATTTAGAAATAATTTGTAAAATGTAGTGTATTTGTAAAAGCTAATTGGATATTTAAAAAATTTTAATAGGTATCAGAAAAGTGAAAATTCTGGAGCAACCTAGCAGATTTTTTTAAAATGCTAATAAAAAAAACCTGTAAAAACAGGTTTTAGTTTTTGCCTTTTTGTTTGTATCTTGGTAAATTTTGGTTTGTTTATAATAAAATATATATTAAAATGACTGGAACAAAGTGCTTGATATTTTTCTACTAAGAAGTAAAATATATTAGTAAAATATATAATAAATAAGCAAAAATCAAAATTTTAGTTTTTGGTACTTTTTTTAGTAGCCAAGTATTGTTAGAACCCAAAACTTAGCTGCCTAGGAGAAAAAAAGTGAGCTTAACAACTTTACTTAAGAGTGCAAGTAAGGTTTCTTAGTAAGATTTTGAGAAATAATTAAATGTTTTTAGTAAAATTTTGGTACAAGTGATCTATGAAGAGAGTTACAGAATTGGTTTTTTCTTTGCAATGCTAGTTTAAGACTTTCAAATAAAACTAAATTAAATCCTTTTTTTATATCTTGCAGAAATATTTATATTTCTTTATTTTTCTTTTGTTTTTTTTATTATTATATTTAGAATATATATTAGTTGTTCTGTTAAATTTCTTAAAAGACCTACATAGTTCAGTTTTTTAAATATATTTTTTTTATAAATACTTTGACAATCCTTTTTGTTATTACCTTTGTAACAATCTTTTAAATGTTTTAATTAGTGCTATTGGTTAAATATTATTTAGACTATATCTCTATTTTACATATTTTAGTATTTGATAAACTTGTATCATCTTTTACTTTGATGATATCTCTTTTGTTTTTAAATATAGATCTGCAAATCTTCTAAGTACTTTTTTTTTTTGATATTAATATGACATTTTTGGTCTTTTAACTTTTTTATTAAAGACTTTTTTGGTAATATAATTCAATAAACTACTACAGAAAAGTATACAATTGGCTATATATATAACTTTTCTATATTACCTATTTAAGAAGTCTGCTTAGAGGTTTCTTACTAATTGCTGTATCTAATATTCCTGTTTAGATGTTTTATTTTAAACTCTTTAAACCTGCAACCTGTATTAACATTACTAAGTTATATTCAAATATTCAGATCATTGTTTTAATCTTAAGACTATTTTATTCTTAAGATAAATTTTTAAAGCCTTCTGTACTTATTTTTATAGCTAATCTAGATATTACTATAACAAAACCAACACTTATAATCAAAGTTATATCATTTAACTACTATTAGTCAAAGGATATGTTCTTTTATAGGGGTTCCTAATGTTGTTCATATGTAATTTTATGTTGCTCATTTTCACTTTTATATAGAAATTTTACTTTTTTAAAAAGTTTTTTCCTATGACAGCACCAAATTTATGAAATCTTTCAAACATTGCTTTCTAAACAAAAATATAGCATAAGTAATAGTTCTATTAAATTACAAAATTTCAGTTCTTAACTCTTTTTAGTTCGAAAAAAATCTTCAGTTAAATTTAAAGTACATTAACTCCTATAATGTATACAGATCTATATATACAGATATGATTACTTTTACAACTATCTTTTTAAAAGTTTAATTTATTTTTATTTTTCTAACAATACAATTTAACAATTTATTTCATGCTAACAGCTTATTTATTAATACTAATAGCTAAGAAATATTCAGTTAGTTAGCACATATTTTATAATTTTACTAATTTAGCTTTTTTTTTGCCTACTACATAAAACAGGTTACAATTTCTGTTTAGACAAGAAATTTGAGTATTATTTAAAATTTGCTGAAGGTAGTAATTTGAGTGTACAAAACAACAGTTTTTGAATATGTTATGAAACTGGTATAAGCACAACCAAGAATAAAAAAAAGCATTTGAGTAGTAATTAAAATTTGCTAAAGGTAATAAATTAAATGAACAATGCTTATGAACAATGCTTGTAGCATGTTTTTCTTTGTTTTTTTAATAAAGATCAACACTGAAGAATATTTGGTTGGTTAGCTCTCATTTTATAAATTACTAATTTAGCATTTTTTGCTTACTACATAAAACATACAGATCACACTTTTCTTTTAAATAAGAATAAATGAAAAGCATTTGAATGTTATTTAAAATTTACTAAAAGTAATGATTTGAGTGCACAAAACAGTTTTGAAATATGTTATCTGTTATGAAACTGGTATAAGCAATAACCAAAAATGAAAAAAAGACATTTAAATAGTAATTAAAATTTGCCAAAGGTGATAAGTTAAATAAACAGTTCTTGTAATAGCATGTTTTTTTTTGTCTCTTTACTAGAGATCAACATTAAGGAATATTTGGTTGGCTAGCACTCATTTTATAAATTTACTAATTTAAATATTTGTTGCTTGCTACATAAAACATACAGATTATAGTTTTTGTTCAGACAAGAATGAACGAAAGGTGTTTGAATATTATCTAAAATTTATTAAAGGTGGTGATTTGAGTGCACAAAACAGTCTTGAAATATGCCATGAAAATGGTGCAGGTATAGCCAAAAATGACAAAAGGCATTTAAGTAATAATTGAAATTTGCTAAAAATGATGATTTGAATGAACAATACTTGTAATAGTATGTTTTTTTTTGTCTTTTTAATAGAGAAATAGTTCTATTTCATTATGTGTAGTTTGTAATTTTTTATGCTTATTTTATTGTATGGTTTATATTTCATTATGACATTTATATTTATTGTAAAACTTATATTTTTTACCTATTTGCTTTTTTTAAATGTTTATATTTTATTTTATTTTTATTGACAAAATTGAAAATTTCAAACTTCATATTCATGAAATCATATGATAGAATTGGGTGACATATTGAACAGTATCCAAATTGTGTTTTTAATTCTGCCAGTAATTATATCTGATAGAGAAGGTATAATATAATTATAAAATGAAAAAATGCATCTTAATAAAATTATCAATCTTAAATATATCAAATAATTTATTTTATTTTTTTATTTAACAAAATAATGAGCATTGGCACTATTAACAAAGTTATAACTTTAAAATAGTATAAATAGTTTCTAATTCCATAAATCTTGAAATAATATGCACTCTTGTAAGATTATACAAGGTTATATATATATTGAATTCTTTGAATTATTAAACTCTTTAATGTAGTAAATTCTTTAATAAGTTAGTCAATTATATAAATATCATACTATGTTAGAAAATTGGTCTTTGTCCTAAAATAACACATGTATACATTTGAAATAACATACACATATCCAACATACTCAAAATAATGTGCATATAAGTATTGTGTAAAAATGTATTGTATTTAATAAAACAAATAGTTGCATAATTATTATGTTTTAAAAAAAGTTTGTTCAAATGAACATCTTTTGTTCTGTCAACATTTTATAACTGTTTTATCTTAGCATGATCTTTGTTTTGGCAAAATAGTTTGCAATTAAAAAGATAACTCAAAGACTGATTAGATTACTATCATGTTACATTTTTGCTTATTGTATAAATTGAAAATGCAATTAGTAAATAAATATATAAAAATAAGATAATATTAAATATTGTAAAAAAAAATAAAAAAAAAAAATATAAATAGTCTTGTTATTTCAGATATCAGTTCTTGTTAACATACAAATCTTGAATAATTTCTACTAAATAAATTATATTTATTAATTTCTAAATTTTTATAAAATAATATACATATTTATCAAACAAAATAGCTGATTTTAAATTTACTTACTTGAAGGAATATGATGCTTTAGAAGAAAATTATGATAAAACTTTTACTATTCATCTATTGATTTTGAAAAATGCACAAACCTTACTGTATGATAAAAGTGAATATATTAATTTGAATAAAATTGAATCTGTAAATTCTAATCACTTTAAAGAATTCTCTTCAACAATAGGCAATGAAATGAATGTAGAAATTGAAGAGACTTCTGCACAAATTCTGAATTTAACATTATATGTAATTATAGATTATATTGAAAATAAAATTAAGTGTTGTAATAGTACTACAAATCTAAGAAAATTGTAAAAATGATAGAAATATAAAAAATAGATGCATGTGCAGTTAAAAATATTCAAGGTAATAGTACAACAAACCTACAATAATTGTGACAAACAGTAAAAATATGAGAAGAAGAAGCAAATGCACTCGATTAACTTGGTGTATGCTATACTCATTTTATATTTGATTAGAACCAACTTCATGAACCAGGCCTGAAACAGTCATGTTCAATTGATAAAAGCATTGTCTATTTTCATATTTGTCTTTTCTGTAATAAGAATAAATATTTTTATAGTTGTGACAACTTTTGTATACAACATTAATAAAAAGTTAATAAATGAAATATTCAAGTACCTTGTATTGGCATTCATGACTGTTCTGCATTTTCTAAGAGATATATTACTAAAAAATCATCTTCTGGCTATTATGCATATTATGTTTGCTCAGAATGCTTTCAACAAAACAGTAAACATCTTTATGAAAAATCCTATAATAGAAAATTTCAATTATGTAAACTTGAAAAACACCAAGATGATGCTAGTGATGCTCTAAAGCTTATTAGAAAATAGTTATTATCAGTAGCAGATTCAGATGATCATGAGCTGCAAGATAGACTCTTATGTCTGATATCCCTAATATTAACTAACTTTGATAATAAAATAATAGACAAAAATTTAACTGAAATAAAAACAGCAAAATCTCCAAGTAAGCTAATTGTTAGAATAGCAATGGCAATGAAAAAAATTGAAATAAATATGTTAATTCAAGAAAGACTTCACATAACTCTGAAAAAAGCTTTGACATTAGGAAAAAATTTAGAAAAAACAATTTTAAATTTATGTCCTGAAGTTAAAGAAAATATAAGCCAGTTAGAAAACCCAAGTTCATATAAAGACTACTTTAACATACTGCCTAATATTATTTGCACCTTTTTTCAAGCCCTTCTTACAGTATTGCAAGAACATTAACTAAAAATTATCAATAGTAAGAGGCTTCAGCATAACTTTCTCTAAAATTATATAATACTAGTCAGATAACAAAAACTACTACTTTACTTACTTCAATGCTGCTTATTATTGCTTTTTCCAGAGTAAAAATTTGGCTTACAAACATTATATTGTCAATATGCCAAAATCCAAAATTATTGCCACATCTATGAGAAATTCTTTATTTAGCATCCATTATTGCATATACTAAAAAGCATGAAAGTTGTCTTGAAAACTTAAAGATGCATCATATAAATCTCAGAAACAATCTAATTGAAGGTTCAAATGTTTGAAATCAGGTAGTAATTGATAATATCGATTTTAAAGCTTTTATATTCTCATATAGAAATATTTTTGACATCACATGACAAACTTTACATGCAATGTTATGAATAGTATTTTAGTTCATTCTTTCTATCTTGCTTGACTATCTAATTAAAAATTATGAATTTACTAACTAATTACTGTTTGGAGAATCCTTAACTGCTGATGATCTATTGATAATATATAAAAATATTTTGAACAAAATGTTAAAAAATCATGTAAATAAATTCGAAATAGAAGATGTGCACTCTGAAATCAGTAAACAAATACCTCTAGGTTGCAATATTCTATTATCAAAAATTGTGATATTGAACCTAGTAATCTACTTAATTATAATGATAATGTTTATGAGGCATGTGAAATGTATCATGATGATTTACCTTATAGTTATGATGAAAAGCTATATATTGCATGTAATTAGACAATTTTTAGAAAATTGGTTTCTTATAAAGAAACTCACAATGATGTTTGACTTTTTCTGGGACAGTAGCATATATCTAAAGACATGTGCTGTATTTTAATTACAATATTTTCCAGATAATGAATATTTAACCTTGCGGCAACCCTCAGAATACAATATCTAAAAAAATTTAAGCATGTAGTAGATTACTGAGCAATTTGTCATATTTTAGAATTAATCTAAATAGCAGTAGGAATTGTGTTGTGTCAGCATGTTAAAAAAAAGGAAAAACAATGAATGATATTTTAAATAGTAATAATTATCTAATAAAGGTTTGGTATCTCTTCTTCTGCTAGACAAAATATTTTATAGGTAATAAAATCAGAATTAGAAAAGGAAATTACCAAATGCAAATAGCAAATTTGGCTGCATTTGCATCTTTATTTCTTGTAGCTGGAAAGTTTAAATATACAAGTTCTGTTGCACACTTTTTGGCTCAAGTTCATAGTAACTTACAGCTACAAAAATTATTACAAATTGCATATTCAGTAAATGTTACAAGAGAAGGTCATTATTTTAGTTTTAATGAAGTGCTTGAAACATATAGCATAAAATTTGTCAAACAAAATATAACTGGTAATATTACAAATCAAGAAACTATGATGTTAAAGATCGAAGCAGTCCAAAATAAGAGAGATTATTTATTAATGCTTCTTGCAGAGTATGTCAACAACATCATGATAAGCCAAAATACTTGTGCAATCAAGTCATGTAAAGATTTACTCTGGTTTCTAGTTGCAAATCTGTTATTTGTCTTTAATTATTCAAATCTTACAGCACATCATCTATTTAAAGATGTATCAAAATTTAGTAAAGAAGATATTGAAAATATACTTTCTTTTTATAAGACTGAAAAATTGCACTTTCAAGAGGTGCTTGAGAAGGATATGTACAAAACTAAGCACCAGACTTCCAAATATCATGTATGAAATATAAATTATTATACTTTTGCAAAACTTGATAATATAAAAAAACAAAAACAAAAACATCATCAAATTAACAATTAAATAAACAATTCTATTTAGAAATCAGTTAATCAACAAAATACATTAATATTGTAACAAACATCATTATCATCATTTTCTGCAACTAATCCTTTTAAACATTCATGCTGCACTATTACAGAAATAGAAAAAATAATTTTTGCACAACTCTTTGAAGTTGGAGATAGTGATATATCTGAAAATAAAATCCAAAAAAAGTTATCTGAACTTCTTACTGATTCTTTAGATTGGACAGAAAGAAGAGTTAAGCAGTACTAAAGAAATAATAGCAAAAGCATTCAAAAATAAATTATTATATATAACTTAGGATTTTGAACTTTCATGCAAATCTTATTATTTTGTCTAGAATTTATTTAAAAACTAAAAATTAAAAAAATTTCAATCTTTAAATTTTTTTAGTAAATCACAGTTAAGAGATATAAATTTCATAGTAAAAATTAGCAGAGAATTACTATTACTTTTACTACTATTAGAACCAAAATAACTTGCTCTATAATCTTTGTTAGAAACTCAAGAAAGGTTTACTTGATATAAAAAAACTTTTTATTGTAAGCTAGCTGCATTCCAACCCTATAGAAAAACTATTAACTTACAGCAATTTTTACTATTAAATTTGCTATTTTTAACTGTGATTTATCTCTTAAATATCTTATTTAGTCATGTATACCATATAGTGCTGCCTATAGTACTTCTTAATAAAGTATCTTTCTTGTACAGTATCAGAGTGTTTAGCTATTTCTAGCTTCTAAAATAGTACTAGCAATATTATAAAAACAACCAAATTAGATTCAATAAAATTTTTCTTATAAATATATCAAATTAAAATAAAACAAATCTAGTTGAATTTTGTTAATGCTATTTTAGATGTTAGAAATAACTGGACATTTTATACAGTACCAGAATGCTAAATATTAATATTTTTAAAGGAGTATTTCTATTAGTCATATTATTAAATATATTGTAATCTATAGCACTTTCTTCTTGTACAGTATCTTCTTCTTATATAATATCTTCAGATATTATTTAAGCTAATTTGAATAAGACTAGAGTACTATAGGCAGTGCTATCGCTATACTGGAGGTATTCCAATTTAGTTAAAATCATGTTGAAACAAAAAGAAATGAAGATAATAATAATTTAAATTAATACTTTAATTTATCTTAAAAAAGTGTTCTTAGTAAATGTCTAAATTTCACAACTAAGTGCTCTGCACGAATAATGAAACTTGTAGTGCTTTTTATTTGTTACTATTAGCAAAACAAAGCTAATTTTAATTTACAATACTTGAAAGAAAATCTTGACATTTGTGTTAAAAAATTGCAATGTTTAAGTCTAATTTTATTTTATTAAATTTAATATACGACTCTGCAGAGAGAAGGCACTACGTGTGACAGCGGCATTACAGAAGGTTCTACTACTAAAAAGTGTTGCGTGGGTAAGTCCTATCGAGACGAGGCAGCACCAACATCTCTGTATCCAACTTGCAGAGATTTGATTGGAAGGGTAATAC